CTCTAACTTGTATGCTCACAGCCTATTGTAAGAAGAATCAAAGGAAGTAGGACACATATCTACCACAGGTTCTCATGGCATATAGGTCATCTGTTCATGCCAGTACTTGACAAACTCCAAACCAAATGATGCTTGGCAGGAACATTGTGTTGCCAATGGAGGTATTTTTACCTTTACCAAGAGGAATTGACGATGATGATGTGCAGCCTGAAACACAAAAATATGTTCTAGAATTACAAGCAGATATGATCAAAGTACATGAGACTGCAAGAAAACATCTAAAGCAAAGTTCTGAGTATCAGAAAAGATACTATGATTTAAAGGCAAAGAAGCGACCACTGAGCATAGGACAACCTGTGTGGTTGTTAGACGGGTCCAGAAAAATAGGTGTTTGCCACAAGTTAACATCGAAATGGAAAGGGCCTTACCTCGTAACAAGACAACTAGATGACTTGACTTATCTAGTAAAGAGATCTTTGAAACAACCTGCTAAGGCTTATCATCTTGATAGATTGATGCCATATCGAGGCATCAACTTACCACCCTGGTTCAGGAAGTTCACACCACAGAACTGAATGATGTCAGACAGTAGTATGATGATACCAGATTTTTTAGCTCTACTGGTCAGAGACCAGAAGAGCTTATGCGATAGTAATGCGTCCGGCGTCCGTCCGTCTGTCTGTCCGTCTGTCTGTAAACATTTTTTTTCAAAATTCTACTCCTCATACAGTTTTGGTCTAATTTCAATATAACTTTGCACACAAGTAGACTACACCAAGATACATAGAATAGTGCATCGGTTTTTGATTTCTATGAACGGTGTTGCCGTGGTTACTAAAAATAGAAATTTCTGTGAAATTCTTTTAAAATGCTACTTCTCCTACAGTTTTGGTCTGATTTCAGTATAACTTGGCACACAAGTAGACAACACTAAGATACATAATTCTGTGTATCGGTTTTTGATTTCGATGAACGGTGTTGCCGTGGTTACTAAAAATAGAAATTTCTGTGAAATTCTTTCAAAATGCTACTCCTCCTATAGTTTTGGTCTGATTTCAGTATAAGTTGGCAAACAAGTAGAATACACTAAGATACATAATTCTGTGTATCGGTTTTTGATTTTGATGAACGGTGTTGCCGTGGTTACTAAAAATAGAAATTTCTGTGAAATTCTTTCAAAATGCTACTCCTCCTATAGTTTTGATCTGATTTCAGTATAAGTTGGCAAACAAGTAGAATACACTAAGATACATAATTCTGTGTATCGGTTTTTGATTTTGATGAACGGTGTTGTTGTGGTTATTTAAAATAGAACTTTCTGTGAAATTCTTTCAAAATGCTACTCCTACAGTTTTGGTCTGATTTCAGTATTACTTGGCACACAAGTAGAACACACTAAGTTACATCATTCTGTGCATGCGTTTGATTTCGATGAAGGGTGTTGCCGTGTCGTTCTTTTCAAAAATAGAAATTTCTATGAAATTCTTTCAAAATGCTACCTCTCCTACAGTTTTGGTCTGATTTCAGTATAACTTGGCAAACAACTAGAATACACTAAGATACATAATTCTGTGTATCGGTTTTTGATTTCGATGAAGGGTGTTGTCGTGTTACTAAAAACAGAAATATCTGTTAAATTGTTTCAAAATGCTACACCTCCTACAGTTTTTGTCTGATTTCAATATAACTTGGCACACAAGTAGAATACTCTAAGATACATAATTCTGTTTATTGAATTTTAATTTTGATGAACGGTGTTGCCGTGGTTACTAAAAATAGAAATGTCTGTAAAATTGTTTCTACTCCTCCTACAGTTTTGGTCTGATTTCAGTATAACTTGGCACACAAGTAGACTACACTAAGAACATAAAGAGACTTTATCAACGATCATTCTATTTAATGCTGTTTATAAAGTTTCAAATCCCAGCTGGAGAGAACTTTCTCTGCCTTTGCTATAAGTTCAAACCAGTAGAGCTTCAGTCTCGACAGAGACTTCTGGTTTTGTTTTATTATATTGATACATGTCTAAGGTGGATGTTGTCCTAGGTGGTGCACCACACTAGGTGAATGTGTAGATAGTAACTGATCATTACTATTATTGCACATTAGGACCTCAGTTGTCTAGGGCTGGGCCGGACTGTAGGTGGACCTCAGTTGTCTAGGGCTGGCCGGACTGTAGGTAGACAGCAGTTCTCTAGGGTTAGACGGGACTGATGGGAAAACAGTTGTCTAGGGCTGGACCGGACTGATACTTTTGTTGATTTCATCAACTGCTGGAATAAAATTATAAATGGATAATTGATGTGACTTCCTGATCCTGGGAGGAATCTACAAAAACAATGAAGAATTAGACCTGACTGATTGACTGACTGATTCCCTTAGGAACCCTTTTTATCAACTATATACATTAAATTCTAAGTTAACAAGAATTTCCAATCTTGTACTAGCTTATGCATAGGGGGTTGCATACTGTATTCTTAGAATAAGCGATTGACTTTGTTTTATAGCAAAATAAAATCAATCCTAGATAAGGCCATTTTTGACATGTTCATCTATACAAATACTATACAAGCACTAGTTAAGGAATTAATTTTTCTATAGGCAACATGAGACCATCAGAGGGAGAGATGTGCTGTAGCCTGTGCCATAAGATTTTCAAGACCAGGAGAACCCTGAAAAATCACCTAGCTGCGGCTCCACATAGGAAGTTATCAGTAGTATGTGTGTGGTGTCCAACCGAGAAGCCATTTCGCCGTATGATAGACTTAAAAGAACACATCCTGTTTGACCACAGATCTAGACTAGAACTAATGCCAAGAAACTTCTTGAGCGAGAATAATGGGTATTGGCTTGCCTACCATCCGGAAATCTATTGTGAGGTCATAGCCCCAACCCCAGAGGACTCGGTAGAAGCAATCAAAGCCAGAATGGAGGTGCTGGCCGCCGTCCAGTCCTGGAGAAGACCTTCCAAGACAGCTAAAGAGTAGGAAGAAGGTTGGAAGAGGCCTACCAGTACCAGAGTTCAGCCACATGGTAAGAGGGAATACAGCCCCAGCCGCCCAAGCGTGTTAGAAGATTTAGATCTGGCGGAGATAAACCTAGGCACAGGATCAAATACCGCGTACTTAAAGCTAGAAATGGGTGTCATAACCGTATGGTATAAAGCCGAGCTGTCGGATGAAGTCTTGCGCGACAAGCGGTCGATGGACAACCTCCTCAGGCGCATGGCACTGATACCAGCTACAACCCAGTGCAGGCCAGACGACATATCATATAAAAAGGTTGACCTTGATTGGGAAATATCAACAGTTGCAACAAAATTAGTGGTGGAGGGGCAATTTCTTAAGGTAGTGACAAAGGCAGAGTCAGATTTTTGGAAGAGGAAAGCACCTAGACTGGCTGATACTCCAGAGAGGACCCCATTAACACCACTGGGAAGCCCATCAACATCGGGGATAATATTAGCTGAGGAGGAGAGGGAGACAGAAGTAGTAAGGACACGAGAGGAAGAGATAGAAAGAGAAGCAATCAAGAGACGAGAGGAGATAGAGAGAGAAGCAATCAAGAGACGAGAGGAGATAGAGAGGGAAGCAGCAAAGAGACGAGAGGAGATAGAGAGAGAAACAGTGCAGAGACGAGCGGAGGAGATAGAGAGAGAAGCAGTACAGAGGCGAGCGGAAGAGATAGAGAGAGAAGCAGTGAAGAGACGCAAGGAGGAGATAGAGAGAGAAGCAAAGAGGCTAGCGGAGGAGATGGAGAGAGAAGCAGTGAAGAAGCGAGCGGAGGAGATGAAGAGAGAAGCGCAGAGGCGAGCGGAGGAGATGGAGAGAGAAGCAGTGAAGAGGCGAGCGGAGGAGACAGGGAGAGAAGCAGTAAATAGACGCAAGGAAGGGATGGAGAGAGAAGAAGTGAAGAGGCGAACGAAGGAGACGGAGAGGGAAGCAGCTAAAAAAAACATCGGATGAGCAGGCAGATGTGCGAGAATACCCTAAGGGAGATCAGCAAAAATCATCTAAAGAAGTAGAGTGTAAAAAGGATAAGAAAGCAGAACCAAGGACGGAAGAAACAGATATCAGCATACAAAGAGCAAAGGAATTGCTGAAAAAGGGGTGTCTCCCCCTATTCCCAGCAGCGCCAAGAGAGTGGGAGGATGAGGAAGTAGTCCAAGTTGGACATGGCATTGGGAATTTTTGGCCATAGCGAAGGAACTCTCCCTAGGAAATTGACGCCCACAAGCAAGGAAGATTTACTGCACAAATACAATTTCCTGGCCCTCCCTGGCTCCAGTCCACCAACAATTAGTAACATCAGGTTAAAGTCCAAATTCTACCTATTTGCCACACTAAGAGAGATTGCGAAAGGTAAAGTACATCACGACACCAAACTCTTACTAGACATGCTTAAGCAGATAGAAAAACGACGAGACGACTCCCTCGACAGCCTAATTGACGAGATCAATAGAGAAGGAATCCAACTAAGACTAGGTGAAGAAGATTAAATATTAATCAAGACTAAATTCAGGAGAATTTGACTCTTAAGTGGGGGGAAGTGTAACATTATGGACTTAGTACTTGACAGTGTTATGTATGGGGGTGGATTTCAGCTTAGTGTTATTGTTAATCACCATATAATATGTATAGGGGTGGACTTTAGAATATTGCATAAAACTCACGGGCATGTGTAGTATATTGTCTTCGTGATGTAAAGTAGCATCCAGTTGTAAATTATTAGAAATGTGTTATTGTTCATGTTATTTTGTCATTTTATCGTTTACTTAAATTATTGATGCAATACACATTGCACTTCGACGTTGTTATGTAAACAAATGCTGTTTTTGTATTACTAGACAATCTAGCGAGATATTGTTGAATTGTTGAACAGACAGTAAGGGACTGATACTGAGATATATCAGTTTTCCATCATTATCTACCATATTATGACTGTAATTTACTTACTTTTTCCAGTATTATCACGTGCATTGTATATTGAGCGTCTGCCATCTTTCTTACGAAGGAAATAGTCATGTGACATAAGCATTGTTGTTTTACAATTGATACGATCAAAATAACACTGTCCGTGTTCTCAAATATTTATAATTGATAGTTTAATGTTATTTTATTGCAGTATTGTCATTGAATTATGTTTTATTTGACGAAATGTTTTGGAACTTGAATGTGTAGCACAATACTTATGTGTTTACATTATTGTCCGGTATTACTACGCCGTGGATTGTGCGTGTCCGTTTTATTACAGATTGTTTGTTGAACTTATTTAATTTATTATGTATATCAATTAGAATTTATAGCACCTACCTTACATGTAGAACGGACATTTTCAGCGACATTATTTTCTTTGTTATATACATTATGTATGTAAAGTAGTTCCGTGAGGCTCCAAAAAGGACAATTATTCATTGGTTTGTTGTGATCACGTGACCATTATAGAAGGTTATATATATGAGCGCCGAACGTCAGTTTCATCACCAAAAATACGTCATCAACATCATTGACTGTTTAGCTGTAAATATCACTAGTGACTTAGGTATGATAAAATAATGTAAACTCTTGAATACAACTTAAGTAGCCCATAATTTCTCCACCGCACGGACACCGCAATCCACTGTATTCTATTAGTACAAAGATGTTTAATTTATTTTAACTTATCATACCTACGAATGGGCGTTGTCTACACTACTGTTAGGACTTACACTCATAGATGTACCGACTGTTTTTGTTATTTTTCATTGAGATCTTTATTAAATGAAATACTTGAAACGAGAAATGGAACTTGGTTATATTTACAAGGATGTGAAGTCAATTTATCAAGGGTCCCTAAATACATGCGACGGGCTGAGGATGCCCCCCCCCTTTTTTTTTCTATATATGGACGGATGTCATGAGTAGTCCTGATAGAATATAATTAACTTAATTTACACGGGATGGAAACACTGTAAGCTGATTGGCATTTGACAGGGTGCTGAGGAAGCTTACAGTAGACTGAATGGAAAGCCTGGTCTTATCGTGGCTAAATTAAATTCATGATGTGCATTTATCTTTTTGTGATGTTTTTTTTGTCATTAAATGATGTGCTTTTATCTTTATATGATGTGCTTTTGTCATTATGTGGTGTATATAGGTCATTACGCAGGCTGCTTTTATTATTACGTGATATGCTTTTGTCATTAGGCGATATGCTTTTGCCATTAAATGACGTGCTTTTATCGTTGCGTGATGTGCTTTTATCATTATGTAATGTGCATATACCATTACGTGATGTTCTTTTGTCATTATTAGGGCTATGACGATAAATCGATTCTGTGTAAGATCGATATGAAGAAATATCAAAATATTGCAAAAAATTATTGAACATATAAAATAAAGAAACCTGTATATAAATATAGATCATATGAAATAAAAATAATTAAAACCACTTAAGTAAAATGTTGTTTCAAAACATATAAACAACTACTTTGAATAAATTATTCTTATTTGCAGAGAAATATTTTGTTATTTCAATGCAAAAAAAAATTTAATAACCAATTAAACATATCGTCATACATATCGTATCGTGGCTCAAATATCATGAAACGTATCGATATATAAAAAAGATGTATCGTCCCAGCCCTACCAGTTTCTGATTTTTACGTATTTTTAATAAAAAAAAAATTAATTATGCTAGAGATATACATTTCTTTCTTTAAGCATATCTAGTGGTATGTGCAAGAACAATATTCTTTCAACCACAAAGCTGACAAGTGGATACAAATCGGGTCAAGATGTTTCCAAGCCACTTATTAGTGCGTCAAGTAAAGGAAAATGTAGCCATGGTTCCAGCGATGACGATTCCCGACACAGTACAGCGACTGGTGAGATCTACAAAGGAAGGTCGACTTCTGCGCATGCTCCTCACTATCACTTGCATCTTCAAGCATTTGAAGCTGCAAAGCAAGCATCCGTTTATTTTTTGTCCGATGAAGGTTTGTTTTGTTTGTTTTATGTTGTATAGCGTCTCTTTCGTTAATTTTTCACTCATATGCAGATGCCAGATGCCACCATTTGCGGTGAAGAGCTGCAAATTTTGTCTTGTACTCGGCACTCTGGGGCATTTAGAAGTGAGGGGTCTTTTTCATGCCAGCACCAACTGCGACACGGGACCTTCTCGTCTGAAGGACCGGTCTCCACTTCCCATAGTGGGATTCGAACCCGTGACGTACGGATCAACCCCTTACTCTGCGACTTTAGAGCAAACGCTCGTACAACTGCGCCAAGTGGGCGACCACCGAGGTAAGTAAGTTTCAAATGACT